AATAAGAAAATTATACTATTGATGATTATAATTTTATAATTTTCATGAATTTATATTGAAACAATTAGGGAATAAATGGTGACAGGTTTTATACTACATTTCAATTATATTTGTATATACATATATAATGAGAATCGTTCAATTTCATAATGAATTTAATCGTAAATGGAATAAGGTAATTGCACTTAAATATTGTGAAGTACATAAGAAATGTATAATATATATAGTATGTATATTTATATATAGAAAAGGGTAGAAAGGACAAGCGATTAATATAGTCACGGATTCAGGGTGGCTTTGTTCTTTTAATATTGCTTTGCGAGTCCTGTGGGAGAGCTGCACTGGTTGAGATTGAGAAAGGGGCATAACGTTCTTTTCCTGTGTTGTTTTTCATTTTGAATCCAAGTGGCCGACGTCGAGATTTTGACTCATTGTCGAGCAGATTTCCCAAAGGAAAGAGTCAATGGCTTTCGTCTGGTATTGTTTTGCGAAGGAGCTTCTGTAAAAATCCTATAGTTCCCTCGCGGCATTCATCAACTCTGATTATTCTTGAATTGTTCAACTGCGGTCGATAGAATTCAGATAATAATCAAAAGTATAATGAATATATTTTTATTTCATTGTATTCAATAATTATTTATTTATACTCATTTTTATTTTTAAATATATCATTTCATTTTTTTATTATTATTATTTTTATTATTAATATTATTATTATTTATTGGAGAGTACTCTCTAAATCTGAATTAGTAAAAATGTTTACTAATTTGAATTAGTGACTCAATTTTTGCTTCTGAATTAGTAAAATTTTACTAATTATTAATAACTTTTACTAACAATTAGTAAAATTTTACTAATTCAGAAGCAAAAAGTGAGTCACTAATTCAAATTAGTAAACATTTTTACTAATTCAGATTTAGAGAGTATACTCGAAAGTTACCGGAGTCATTAGAGGCCAAACAGTACCTCATACCTCCATTCAATATATCTACCCAGATTTAAATCATTTAGTAAATCTTAGAGTCTCTTTTCCATTTTGGTTTTTCGATTTATAACACAACACTATTATGACAAAAGACAAAAATTGACAGTTTTGAAAAACAAAAGCGCAAATGTCAAAACAGGAAAAAAATGTAATCGATATCATGTATTTACTTTTCCCTTTTTCAAATATACTAAATTTAAACAGGAAAATCGTAATTGAAGAGGAATATGCAAAAGTACTCCTTTTGTCATTATTCCATTACAACAAATAATAAAAATATTCTACAGTGAAATGGAATATTCGTATTTTAAGAGGAAATATTCGAGAATTTTAGAAGAGGAATTTTCCTCTAAATTTAAGATTATTTTTTTTTGGGTGTAATTTTTTTTAAAACAGTTTTAAAAAATTAATTTATGTAAATAATAATTTTGCTTCCTCGTGGAGGAAGCTTTGTATAGTCCTTTCGTTTATAAAACTTTTCAAAGTGGCGGAAACAAATTTTTTTCTTTATAGAAACATGTTATATGAGATCCTAATCAATTGTCCGGATGTATGTATGTGTGTGTGTGTGTGTGTGGATCCCTTTTTTGTTTAGAAGATAACTTTAACAGGTTTTAATGGATTTAGATAAAATTTGGTAGGATCATTTATCATATTAATATCTCAAATCTGACCAAAGGATTTTGAAAAATACCCAAAAAAAAAATTTTATCGTCTTTTTTCCAAAAAATTTTTTTTAATCGAAAAAATTTTTAAATAGAAAAATTTAAGGTTATATATAATAAAATCGTATTCCTTACGTTAAGACGAATCGATCGATATATATAAAGTATACATTTGAGGTAAATTTAAAGAATTAATGAAAGTTAAAAAATCAAAAATTCACCTTTTGGCAATAAAATTTTGCTTTCTCCACGAGGAAGCAAATTTTTTTTTGCTGATCGTAAAGAGGAAGCAAAATGTTCATGTAATGAACATTTGAATTTACAACTTATTTAAATTGTTACAGTAAGCATATATAAAGTTCGTGCACTTTCCATTTTGGAAAGTAGAAATTTGCAAAATAATATGTTTTAAAATACGTCATAAATATTCTAAAAGTGATGATATATTTACTTTTATTACCTCTCTTTGAAAAAGGGTAATAGTTTGAGGGTTTAAAACCTATATGACTAGAAGAATGTACAGCTTTTCACAACCTTTGAATTCCACTCTCTAAATCTGAATTAGTAATTTTCTACTAATAAAAGAGTGCGGATTCGTTTATCAATTGAATTAGTAACAGTTTTTTGAATGATAGATTAGGGTACAAAGAATCTCGCTGTTCTCAGAAAAATACATAATTTTGAGTAAAATTATTAAAAAATGATGTTTAAAAAGTGTCATTTTTAAACGAAAATGAAAACAAATATGGCGGCACATACACAGACGTTGTTGGAATGTGTCAGTACTCCAGTAAACAGCGCCAATTCGAGTAAGTGGCCGCTGAATGAACTATGATTAAATACATTATTTTACTATTTATTGATTTATTTTTATTATTTTTGCGTTAAGTTATGGTAAATGAGTAGAACAGCGAGATTCCTTGTACCAAACAAAATCATTTCTCCAAAATTTTAACCCAAAATCATTTTTTATTTCAGAATAAGTTTCAAACCACAAAAAAACGTCCTTTGCCCACATACATACCCTTAAAAATCATACCAAATTTTTTTCTTATTCCTTATGACTCCTATAACAGAAATTCACTTGAATTTTTGTCAATTTGGTTAATAATGACAAGCTGTCCCCATTTACCATGAGTTTTCAAATTTGTAGGGTAAATGGGGACAGCTTGTCATTATTAACCAAATTAACAAAATTCAAAAATTCAAGTGAATTTCTGTTATGGGAGTTATAAGGAATAAGAAAAAAATTTGGTGATTTTTAAGTCTGTTTTTTTTCAAATGCGAAACAAAATACTGAAATAAAAAAAAAAATAAAAAAATTTCAATTGGTTCAACTATTATATACTACAAATTTTTTTTCAAGTTTTTAATACAGTAATATACTTAAGGAAACTTTTTTCTTAAAACTTTCTTAGAAACTATGCTGTCCCCATTTACCCTGAATTTTTTTCTGCTGCATAAAATTAATCCTGGAAACGTAAATAACAACTTAAAAAAAATAAACCCGCAAATATTACCTTTAAAAGGAAGAAACTTACGTAATTTGTGAAAAATAACGATTTTGTCCCCACACTGAGAAAAATAATTTCGTAATAATAAGAAAATAATTTAGTTGAGCTTTTTTAGTTGGCGTTACTAAAATATGGTTGTCACAACAGAATAGAAAGTGGCAATAAATCGGGAAGTTTAGTTGGCTCTACCAAAAAATATATTTGAAGCTTTCATGTTTACGAACTAAATAGTTTGGTTCCCAGTACTAAATAGCTGACATGCTGTATTGCGCACGCGCTCTTCTCGTAAATATGGCGTCGCTTCCCATTCACGGGATGTCAACATTAACCATATGTCGTTCGCGTCGTGAAGTTTTTATGTTTTTCAGACATTTTTTAAAAAAAAAAGTTTGTGTAGTGAAAATAAATAAATAAAACTTGTTACAAGAACGAAAGTTTTTTTCCAGCTTTTATACATTGTGAAAATGATTTAATCTCAAATTGTTAGTAGGATTCGTAGAGTAGTGGTCAGCGTTCTCGACTAGCGTTGCGTAGTCTGAGGGTTCGAGCCCCAGCAGTGTTAGGTTTTTTCCGCGATAGAAATTAATTTAAGTAGGCATAGGTAGGTTATATAAAGAGAAAAGGGTGAAACAAAAAAATAAGTTGGTTGAGAAAACAAAAAAAAAATTTCATTTAACTAAATTTTTTGTTTGATTAAAAACAATAAGTTAGTTGTGCAAAACAAAAAATTTGGTAGATCGAACAAAATGATTCAACGAAAAAATTTAGTAGCCCGAACCAAACGGATTAGTTGCACATATATCAAATAAAAAATTTGGTAGAGAGAACCAAACTTTGGTAGATGATACTAAACATTTTTCTCAGTGCATTTACCCCAACTGACCCTACTTTCATTTTTTTAAATACCATCAAACCTCATTAAAAGACGATCAAGTAAATATTTTAACTGACTTAATGTTATGTTCTTTATCATTAAAAATAATCTCACCTAACAGGAATACAGTTTTCTTAATAGGGAGGGAATGTTTTACCCAAAAGGATACAGTACTCTCTTGTCAATTTGTCCATAAAATCAAGTATCAATATCAAAATATTTATTTTCTTTCAAGGTGGCAAATTCATAAACTCTTGACTAAACTGTTATATTTTAACAGTGACGTCACAGAGGATACAATTAACGATGAGTATACTGTATCCCTTTAAAAAAAAGATTCAAATATTCTAATTGTAGAAATAAAAAAATAAAAAACACATTTATCCAGAACTCACTGTTTAAATTGAAATTATATTGACCCGAGTCAATAAAAGTTGCACAATTCAAGGAAACCCCATAGTCAATCTCTTAACGAGAGGTTATACTGTATATATGTGAAAATCTCATTTCATCATGTGTATACTCCATTACTTACTCTATAGTCTATTTTCCAATCAAATACTTAAGCCCCTTGAAATCTAGGGAAACGAATCAACATCAAACCGCACCTGCAAATAAACAAGCTATATATTTATAAGGGTTGATCAACTAAAGAAGTCGAAGAAGTGCCGCAACTCGGGTTACGACACCTTTTAAGCGTAACTGGTCGTTAGCGCCTTCGACAAGTGAAGAGTGCTAGTCGATAATGCCTCTATGTACTATTTGTATTCCCTCGTATCGTGTGCGGTAATCGATAATAATAATTGTGGGCCGAGGTGCGCGCCAAGAGATCTTAGTTAGTTACCTTCGAGTTCTTCCCAATGTGAACCAATCGCAAAAGAAGGGATGGTTTTGGGGTGTGGCCTTGATGGAGTCATGGATACGCCCTGAAATACCCCCCGACGAAGGGTATTCAGATGTTCAAACCGGTTCGTCAACTCTCGAAACAGCAGTCAGTCAGTCGATTTCGGTACTCTCTTCGAGTAGGTCTACCGAAAAAAAGAATCGTGTGCCTAAATGTTTCTTTATATTCAATAAAATAAAAGAACAGTGTTGTTCTAGAATAAAATTTATCCTATAATATACTAATTTTCAAAGGACCCTTTCCAAGTGTTTTTATAGTGATTAAATATCCCCTAATAATAACAATTTGAAAATTTTTTTTGTGGTTGCTAACCCCAAAATTGAGTTTAGTGGAAAAAAAATTTTTTTTTTCAAGTGCTTAAAGTTTCATAAATCAAGTGCAAAATGTTGAGTTCACATCAACAACATCCAGCTTATGGATTTCTATCTGGCATGGATCTCAATTCGATGCATCATGTATCGCAAGAGATGTCTCATGGTGCAGTTGCAGCGGCAGTTCATCAACAGCAACAACAACAACAACATCACCATCATCATCATCAATCGACAGTTTCATCTCAGGAGCAACACATTAAACGTCCCATGAATGCATTTATGGTATGGTCACGTATTCAAAGGAAAAAAATTGCCCTCGACAATCCTAAGATGCATAATTCAGAAATTTCAAAACGTCTTGGTGCCGAATGGAAACTTCTCACTGAATCAGAGAAACGACCATTTATTGATGAGGCAAAAAGATTACGTGCAATGCACATGAAGGAGCATCCTGATTATAAATATCGACCAAGACGAAAACCAAAAGTTCCAATGTCAGTTGTACCCGGCGGTAAATCAGGTGCAATGAATCCTGGTGGTTTTCCCAGTTTTCCATTGCCACCATATTTTGCCAGTCCAGCATCGGCTGTCTCTCATCATCATCATCCACATCATGCACCACATCCACTTGAATATCCACCGCTTTCTGGTTATTTTGGATCTGCTTTTGATGCTGTTCATTTGGGTAAACTTGTATCCGGCGGTGTACATCCAAATTCAGCGAGTCAAGCTGCTGCCGATGCAGCAAATAATAATGCATCGGCCGCTGCTGTTGTGAGTAGTTTTTATTCATCATTTTATCCGCCAACAACAACAACCGCTGGTAAAACACCATATGGACATAGTCCAGCATCACATCTTAATCCATTATTCACAAGTGCTGCACATCATCATTCAGTTAATAATACAAGTGCATCATCGTTGATGTTCTCTAATTCAGCTGTCAATAATGGTATGTCTGGACTTGGTAATTCCAGTAGTCCTGGAAGTAGTCCTAGTTCAACGCCAATTTCTTCATCACATGCCTCATCAACGCCCACACCATCATTGGATCTTGATCAACTTCGACGACCTGTCTCTGTCATCTTTTAGAAAATTGCATATTTCTTCAACTTTTTCTTCTTCGTCTTTGTTCTTCAAAGTGATGATGAGCGATATTGTAAAGACTGTTGTTTTGTATTTATTAGTCTTGTTGTAGGATTACGAGTTTTTGAGTTCATTGGGACTACTTAATAGGGTATGTGTGTATGTAAGAGAGATAGAGAGAGACAGACAAAAAATAATGTACAGGGTATGCATTTTATCATTTGTACTGCTGAAAAAAGGAATCTTATTTTTTATCCTTTATTTATTAACAGCTGTCAACGATTGTAATTAAAAATTTTTTTTTTTTGTCAGCACTAAATAAATTCTTGTAATTTTTTATTATTTCAAATTTGTAAAACATTTTAAACTATTATATATTATTTAAAATTTAAATTTAATTTATAAAAATTAAGACAATTTGTGTTTTATCTTCGATTTTCTCTTCTCGTGAGACAAGATTTATAAAGAAAAATGTGTTTGTATTTTGCCCTTAAAGTGGCTTCCCATTAACTGTGATTTTGTTAATATGTAAGCACGCGACGTAAGTTAATTGACTTATAGTGATAGTGAAATGAATTGCAAGAAAAAACGCGTGTATGTCTGTATAAAGTATATATATAGCATATATTATTGTTTATGTGCTACATGTGTGTATAACTATAGACGTTATTAGATTTCATTTAAATATTCATGCAAAAAAAGAAAATGATTCATCTCAATTTTCTATATAAAAGCAGTAAAAATTTATCTAAAGGAGCAAAAAAAAAAAAAAAAAAAGAATTTTGCTACTTTAGAGAAATAGTTACCTACTTTAGAGAAACATTTTAACTATTCTAGGTAAATCTATTTCTTTTTTCTATTCGATTTTACTGCACTGCCATTTAATGAGGAATATCGAATTTAATTAAATTTATAAATATTTATTGACGCTTTTTCTATTTTATAAATATATATTTATTTTTTTTTAAATAAAAAATTACATTTAAGTTTACAAAAATTTATAGTTTCTACAAATAATTAATAGCAGTAAACTATAATTAAAAATGTGAACCTAAATATTTATAAAAAAAAAACTATATTTTTGTCTTAATATTAAAATAATTTTTCTCAATTATAATATGTATATTTATTATTTAATGTTTATAATGTTAACTTTTATAATAGTTAAAAAAAATTTCTTTTTGACAATTAATAATTGTAACATGACATAATTTTTGTTGATTTATACTTAATATTTCTATTGAATTAAAAAAAAAAATTCAATTAGAAAAAAATTAATTAAGTGTTTTGAAAAATTTTTTAACAACTTTAATACAAACAATTCTTGTTAGTTTATATAAAACTATAATGTTTCTAAACTTACATTTATTACATTTATTGTTTGTAAAAGTTTAATATAAAAAAAAATTTTGAAAATTAATTTTATTAAAGTTTCTAAAACTTTATAATATATGAATGTTCATAACAAATTTATGAAAGTCTATAATAACTGAAAGTCTATATATATATGAATATATATATATATAAACATTTATTTATTTTCAATAAGATTTATAAATTTTTGTTATTACATTAATTCTTTTCCTCATTATGGCTGTGTGAAAAAAAATTAATGGCGAATTTATATACTTTTAAGCAATGTATTTATTTCTCTTGTAAAAAGAAAAGTAATTCCTAGACTGTATTTTATTAAATTAGGAATATTTAATTTTCTGTTATAATTAAAAAAAAATCTTGTTTCTATTCTATAATTATGTAATTAATGAATGATTATTATATGGCATTCCAAATACGAACACAAAGTCAGTATTCGCAGTAGTGTAAAATAAAAAAAAAATAAATAAACGACAAAAATAAACAAAAAACTAAGAAAAAATCAATTATGCTTAATATCAGTGACAATTGCGTTAACGAATAAATGAAAAACAAAAGAAGAATAACAATTTAAAAAAAAACAATTCATAAACAATAATTCAATACTGTAAATTGTGTTTGTTATTATAATAAATTGTTATTATCTGTTCATACAATTTAAAAAAATTTGAATATTTCTTTACAAAAACCTTTCATTTTTTTACATTAATATTAATATAGCAACAAAATTAAATTAATTTTATATATGATTTATTGTTTTTGCTAATTTAAAAAAAAAAATTTACAATTATTATTTATTTATATTTATAACTTTCTATTTTATTTACTACATTAACTTAAAGTACTTTACTTTGTTTAATAAATTGTGCTTACAAATTTATTTAAAGTTTAATTAAAACATATAATATTATTATTAATAATAATTTAATAATCATTTTATTTATTATTATTATTAATTTTTTAATTACTATTTATTTTTATTATTATTTATAATTTAATTATTTATTTTATTAATTAATTATTCAATTAATAAATTATTAATAATATTAAAATTTTAAATTATTATTTAAAACGACCGAGTGATAAAATCATTTTTACTTATATTTAAATAAAAAAATAAAATAAATTTTTTTTTTAACTATAACACAAAAATTTTCTATGATAAACATTCTACAAATATATATTTATTTATATTGGTACCTATTATTTATTAATTTTTATAAGAAATACATACTATTTTAATTTTTTTATTTTATTATAAATAATTATAAATTTATATTTTTAATAAAAATCTTATTAAAAAATACAATTTTTAACGAAACTGAAGTACGCAACATTTATGATAAACGATTTTTAAATAAATAATTTTTTAAAATGAAAAATTCTATAATTTTACACCTAAAAAATATTTCTTGTAGAGTTTTTAATTTATCAACAAATTATTAAAAAATATTTTTTAGACAAAAAATTATAGAAATTTTCATTTTAAAAAATTATCTCTTTAAAAATCGTTTATCATAAACGTTGTATACTTCAGCTTCGTAATTTCAATTAAAACTATGAATAAAAAATTTGTCTTCAAATTATATATAATATAGGTAATAATATTTATTTTAAATGATATAATATAACAATGTACTTATATTTCTATAATTTTGTATATATAATAATAATATATTTATTTATACAATTTTGTATATAAAAAATATTAAGAAATGAAAATAGAAAAAATTGAAATCATCTTTACTTGAAAAAAAAAAAAATAATAATACATATAAGTCTCGTCGGGAGAAAAGTGTGATTGAAAAATATATATATATATAAGAAAACAAAAAAAGAAAAAAAAATGGACTATTGAAGTGGAGAGAATAAAAGGCATTGGAAATTGAAAGGGAGAAATAGGCGCGCGGGACAAGTATGCAATAAGAGAATATACAGTAAGTGTATGGTGCATAGTTCACCCTATTGCTTAGAAAACAGCCAGCGGGGTTTCTCAGGACTGAAAAGAGTAAAAAGACTCCGCGTTAGTACAATTGGCCTCTAAACAGAGGGTAGTTATAGCCGAAATGCAATACGTCAAAGGGGTGGGAGGTGAAAAAATTTGTTGGAATGGAAGATGAAGGGGGAGGGGGGAGAGGGTAGTGAAAGCAAAGGGTGGTCACCTCCAACATGTATATATATATATATATATAGCATCGAAGGTGAGATTTTTCAGTATAGTCCTATTCAATGTAAAAGGGTGCCTTATTCTGACGAGGACATGACGTTGATGCCTTTGATGGGTAGCTTCAAATGTCGCTCCAAGGAAATTTGAGGTCACAAAATTCGATTGTATTGTTATATGTAGCTGTGAGAGTAACGCCTGTTATAATCTCACGTGGTGTGAAATGTCGTTTTTCTTTTCTTTCTTGAACCAAAATGTTGATCGAATAATATTGTTTCTTTTATATAATATATAATATATTTATATGTTCGATTTCATTTCGCAGCATGGATTATATAACGTACTTTAGGGTGCACGCATTTGCAATGGATTTTTGTTTTAAAAAATTTTTCATGTTTCGTGTTAATAAATATATTAATATTAACAGGGTATCTAACAATTAGGGAAAAGTCAGAAAATTGTAGAGAATTTCATTCAAAGTCATCAGGGAAATTTTTATAATTATATATTTGAGATTATCAAGAGATAATTTTTTTTTCAAAAAGAGGTTGTTAAAACATCTGAAAGTACATACTATTTTTACTTAAAATGCATTTTTAAACTTTGAAAAATATTTATTTGGCGTCAAGTTATTGTCATTTGAATTTTCGAAGCATTATCTGATACTATTTACGAATATTGGAACATTGACCAAACTCAGGACATTCAAATGATGATAATAACTCTCAGAGCCGAATAAAGATTTCTTAAAGTTTTAAAATGCATTTTCAAGGAGAAAAATAGTAGACTTATTCAGATGTTGTAATGACCTTTTTGAAAAAAAAATTATGTCACATGACCTCAAATTCTGAGGTCAGATTCAAATTCAACACGTCAAAATGCTTCGAAAAAGTATAGTCTGGTTCTTGGTTCTGAAATAGGCCAAAATCAAAATTTTGTCAACCTGTTTTATTTTGCGAACTTCTTTTATATAGGTATGCAACATTTTTCTTATATTCAAGTATTTAAAAAAAACATTAAGAAAATTTCTTTAAATAACCAAAAAAAAAAATATATATATATATATATATTGAAAAATATTCCGAGAGTATAAAATTTGACCGGAAAAAAATTAAGGGTGTAACGTCAAATTTCATATAGTTCCCTTGTTGTTCCTTTACAGCATCTATAGTAGTCAAACAATATTGCAGTTAATTCACAACACAAAGATGGATTACTATCGACATTATTAAAATCAAAAGTGTACTTGATTCTTTTTCAGATTATATAACTATATTGTTTCGAGCCGGTTATATATTCTAATATATAATATAGCAAAAACAATATCCTCTCGAGAACTACTTGATATGATGCATTATAACAATTTTGCAGCATATGATATATATATGTAGAAAAATGACTGAGAACGATGAGAGTATACGTCTCTTCTATAAACTTCTGTATATAACTAAAGGATTCAAAATTTCTATATAAGCTTTGGCCACTTAGAATTATTCAATTATTGAACAATATAACTCTTGATAGAAAATAAAAAATATTCCCAGACATTTCATTCATTGTAAGCACACAATAATATTGCCGATATAACGGTATTTATTATTCTTATTATTTTTTCGCTATATCGCAGCTGATGGAGAATCCTCTAAAAATATTTCATTTTTTTTTTTGCAAAATTATTTTACCGTCAATTTTTGTTGTTGTTGCAAAAAGTGATTGACAAATTTGTATCACGTATATAATTAAAAATTGTGTTTACAGAATCAAGGAAAAATATTTTCCAAGTTTATCCCAAGTAATTTTCCAGATTTTCTTTCAACAGCATCCGCCGAGAGTGTACGTCCCTCTCATAAAGCCATCTGTTTCTGTGGGTCTCGCTGTGAGTAATAAATCTCCGGAGATTTTCACCCCAATAAAAGCTTAAAGTGAGAGGTACAAAAGTTTTAAGAGACGTTTATCTTCTTTCATCAGTAGGAATATTGTACATTTCGCCCTGACTAAACTGTTGGACACTATATATATATATATATATATATATACATAACAGTTTTATAAGAAGCGGAAAATATAGGCTGTATAAATGTTTCCTTTTTTTATTATTATATTTGCAATATATTTGACTTTCTTTTTGAGAAACTATTTTAAGAGTCTCTCATAGGATTTTGGGACGATATGCACTACAACGAAGGAGCTAATGACTGTTGTTACTTTTTTCGGAGCTTGGCGGTTTTTTCTTTCTTTTTAAGAATAAAAATTAGGGGTGAAATAGTCACCCTCTGATCTCCAGTTACCACTATGTATATTGTATTGCAAGTAACCTGGTATTCATAACACACTATTAACACTCCCAGTACTCAAAGCAATATAAAGGGCACCCTAAGAGAAAACAAGAGCGACGTCAAGAGCAACTTATGAATGCACGCCCATA